AATAAAAACTGCAGATCAGTTTCCCCGAAGTTATTGCACTTCCTGGTTTGAGAAACTTTTAATTTCAGATCTGTATTGACTCATCTCTGTCCTTCAGAGAGGCCAACAGGTCAGACAGACAACTCAGGAGCCAGATGTGATCACCAACAGAGAACAGAAAGTAGGCACTGTTCTTTATCACATGAGATCTAAAAGTAACCTAGAATAAAAATGCTTGGGTCAATCTTCAATTCTTGACTCAATTTTTACTCAGTCCTCATTCAGGCAAAACTTCCCTTGATGTCATTGAGAGTTTGCCAGAGGAGGAGTTGAGAAATGGGAATTAATTCCATGAACAGCAGATATCTGTTCAGGGTTTAGTCAGAGCTTTAATGATTGCAGCAGCAATGCAAATAGATAAACGAAAATAAAATAATTGACAACCCCTAGAAGTGTGATTTGCTGCTAATCTCAATCCCTCCTTTTATGTTTACCTCCCTCATATTCCAAAACGTTTGTGAGAATGCTGGTAGTAACGAGAGTGGCCAACTGGGACAAAGAACATTCGCCCTTTCTGATCATGGAAATACCAGCTGGGAGAGTTCTGTTATGTCTGTTCATTTGCACAGATCTTCTCAGGCAAACTGCAAGTGCCAACATTTTTCTGAAGTTAGGCGGTGTTGCCAGCTGTCACAACTGTATTACGAAAATCATGATATTTGGTGTTATTCTTAAAGCCCCAGTTCCTGGGGGTCATGTCATTATGCAAGAATTATAGTTTTCACTTAAGAAAAGTAAGTTCCTTGACCTCATAAGTACAGATACAAGACTGACAATTGACCTGAGAGTATCCTGGAGACTCAGAAACCAAAAGGCAAATAATAAAAAAAACCCTCACAAGTATTATTTTATTGTGAAATAACATTTTAAAGTCAATCGGATGATTTGGGGGTCTGACTCATGGTTCCTGAATGTTGGGGTGACAGCACTGAGCGGAGCTGATGTGTAAACGTACATAATCATTTCCATTTACTCTGTGTGTAACTATGACCATTTTAACAGAAGGGCTCATCAAATAACAGAAAAACCAATTAATCAAATAAAGTTATTTATGACAGTCAGCAACCTTGGCCACATGAGGAACGTAGGCAATACCAATAGAATAGACCACCTTTGTCTACAGCCTGTGCTGTCTCTGTAGGTGGGAACTGCAGTTTTATACCTAGACACCATTCAATTATGTGTTATCCATAGGCGTAGTTTGGCATCTCTATTTGGTGGGGCAGCTCCAGTCAAGAGAACGGGGCTGTGTGTTGGAGCAAATTCCACGTGTCCAAGGCTGGGCCTGCCGTGGGGTCACAGTTGGCCCATGGTGCCAGACGCCTGCCCCAGTGTTTGTTCAGATCTCACACAGAGTCCTAGGGGGGATTTAACCAGGGCCATGGGGGGCTCAGTGGATGGCTAGCATGGGGCAGGGGAAAGGGGCATGGGTAAGGCTTGTTATTTTCTTCGCTGCTGCCTGGGGCTTCTCGCTGCCACTGGTGACGAGCTCCTCCTGCGCCCTCCTGCACCTGGCTGGGTGGCAGGGGCTAGCCGGCGAAGGAAGATGGGAAACACCGCCTCGTGCTGCATCTCCTCCAGCCCCAAGCTGCACAGGAATGCCCACTCCTGGCTGGAGTCCTGCTGCTCCGAGCCCGAGCTGAGCCACAAGGACTGCAACCAAGAGAACATAGATGGTAAGAGGGGTGGGGGTGAAGCACTGGAATGGATTCCCTAGGGAGGTGGTGGAATCTCCATCCTTAGAGGTTTGTAAGGCCCAGCTTGAGAAAGCCCTGGCTGGGATGATTTAGTTGGCGTTGGTCGTGCTTTGAGCAGGGGGTTGGAGTAGATGACCCCTTCCAACTCTCATATTCTATGATTCTATGAAAAGAACCCTGGGACACAGACCAAAGCCCTTATCCTGCTGACACCTCAGAATCTGGACTCCCCCAGGCTCCATGGTGAGTGCCCCATGGGAGGGACTGTGGCCCCATAAAGCTCTGGGACAGGGTGTCTTTGGGGCCTTTAGGGGATGAGGGCACGGTGCTGATCTTTCCATCCATTCAGCGTATCAGTCCTGGACAAGTTGTGATGGGTGGTGGAGGGGATTGAGCTGGCTATCCAGGCTTATGGAGCTCTGGGGCATTGAAGGAAGCATTGAGAGCATCAAAATACAAGTTCATCCAGGGCTCCATTTTCCCTAAGGCCAGCCCTGCCCATATAATCCTAAATTGATATGCAGCGTGGATGCTCAAGTGGAGCTTGGAAACACTGAGTTCACAAGCCCGGGTCCCACAGCCCTGAGTTTACAATGCAGTGTAGTGAGAGACAGGCCTGGTCTACACTATGAGTTTAGGTCGACTTTAGCAGCATTAAATCGAATTAAGCCTGGACACGTCCACACGACGAAGCCCTTTCTTTCGACTTAAAAGGGCCCTTTAAACCGGTTTCTTTACTCCACTTCCGACAAGGGGATTAGCGCTAAAATCGGCCTTAGCGGGTCGGAATTGGGGTAGTATGGATGGAATTCGACGTTATTGGCCTCCGGGAGCTATCCCACAGTGCTTCATTGTGACCGCTCTGGACAGCACTCTCAACTCAGATGCACTGACCAGGTAGACAGGAAAAGCCCCGCGAACTTTTGAATTTCATTTCCTGTTTGCCCAGCGTGGAGAGCACAGGTGACCACGCAGAGGTCATCAGCACAGGTAACCATGATGGAGTCCCAGGATCGCAAAAGAGCTCCAGCATGGACAGAACGGGCGGTACGGGATCTGCTCGCCATATGGGGAGACGAATCAGTACTAGCTGAACTCCGTAGCAGTAAACGAAATGGCAAAATATTAGTTAAGGTCTCAAAGGCCATGAAGGACCGAGGCCATAACAGGAACGCACAGCAGTGCCATGTGAAAATTAAGGAGCTAAGGCAAGCCTACCACAAAGTTCAGTATTCATGGCTTGTTCAGCCACAACAGCATGAAATGGGCTCTAATGGGACCAGTCGTGTGGGGCTAGGGGACCCTTCTCCACTAGGACAGCAAGGAAACCTTCCAGATTCATCTCCATTGCAGGCTGTAGAACAGCCATGGGACAGTAACCGCTATGGGTCACTCACTTCTGGAGCACTGGATCCGATGTGGCCTAGTTGGTAAAAGTCCCATTCCTTGAACCTTTGAGCCAGTCAATCCCCACAACTCTGGGGCCAGATCCCGCTAAAGGGGAAAGGCCCAAATACCATTCCTCATCCCCCTGAGCCAGCCAGTCTTCAACCCTGAGATCTGAGCAGAGTCAGCAACCCCTAGAGGAGAAAAGACCCTGTATCCTATTCCCCGTCCCCCTGCAGCTGGATTTGAATCCGGGCCCCAGAACAGAGGTGCAACCACTAAATAAAGAAAGGGGACAGCCACGTGGCTGCCAGTTGTCCCGATCAGGTTTAAAATCCTGCCTACTGACCAACCGAACAGTTCCATGTTAATGAACCCACAGAAAACTGTCCTGAAACAGCCGAGGTCGCTACGCAGATCACAGGCCTGACCTAATCCCGCAGAAGCAGGGAAACAAAGAGTTAATCTCTTACCAGGACAAACCCTCTTCCCTCCCTCTCCCAGCTCCCCCCACTATCTACCGTACACCACAGAGCAGGCCTCACAGCCTCAACTCTGACCCCCTGGGGCCTCCCACTTTACAGCCCCCCCTTTACCAAACTAACTGCTCCACTCACACCAGCCCGCCCCTCCCCCTGCCCTCCTGCACACCCTATGATGGGTTCAGTCACAGAGATCCCCTTGGGACTGTCACCTGATGTGCTGAAATAACCTCTGAGCCCGTTTTCCCTGGCAGCCTGGGCCTCCAGAACCCTGCCTCGTTGAGCCAGACACGCCAGCCTGCCGCAACACAGACCCAGGGTCTGAGCCACACCCTCAAAACTGCAGATCTAGACTGAAACCAGCTCAGCAGGATACCTGTCTCCAGCATGCAGACACGTAGCTCCCAATGGGATCTAAACCCCAAATAAATCCCTTTTACTCTGTATAAAGCTTATACAGGGCAAATTCATAAATTGTCCACCCTCTATAACACTGATAGAGCAGTGGTTCCCAAACTGGGGTTTGTTACAGGGGGTTCTCGGGGAAAAAATCCCTAATGGCGAACAGAGCTCTCCCTAGAGACCTCAGGCAGCACGGGGCCCCTGGACTTCCAAGAGCTAAGCAGATCAAAGCAAGCATATCTATCACACTGAGGAGATTTAAACGTCAAGACTCCTTATAAGAAATAGAAAGGGAGGTGGATATTTTTTGCTGTTTTTAAAATGAAATAGGCAGCTAGTATTGTTTTTAAAATTATTATGAAGAACAAATTTAAGCTTTCTTGTAACGTGTGTTGTTTGCCTGGACTTCTCAAGACCTGAATGCTTGTGTAGGAGGAACTCTTTGAGTTGGCTTCTTAAATACCTTCCTGCTGTTTCACATCTGATACTCCTTGATGAAACATAGGAGCCTTGTCTTATAACAGGCTTATTCCAAGTGACACAAGCTACGAAAGTGAGATCTTGGAAGAGTGGTGCCATTTTCATAATGTAATAAAAATACTGTAAAGATAAATAGTAATGAATAGTGTGCAATAAGCATGTCATAAAAACAAATTTTATATTTCCAAGATCACTGCTTTTATAATTTATACTCAGGTAAAGGAGAAATTCCCTGGAAACATTAATTTTTAGCAGGGGGATCATGAGACACGACATTTTAGTGAAAGGGCACTGAGAACTAGGAACCCAGCTCTTCTGAGCCATCCAGTGCCCCAGATAATATGGAGCCTCACCACTGAGCACCTGAAGGCCCACAAAGAAGGGAGAGGCAGAGGTGAGGTGTGCACTCGCCTGTGATTTTAAGCACCCCAGCCACTGTTCTGTTCTATCTGCACTATTGCACTTGGAGATTTTTGATAGACTTTTGTTTTAATTAAAGGTTTCTCTCAAGTTGTCAGTTCAATTAAAGGTTTATTTTTGTTTTACACAATTGATTGTTGTTTCATAACAAAAGCTGTTAAAACTTCAGTCCTGATGACTCAGTGCATTAACACAGAAAAGCTGTAAAACTGAAATAATTCACAGGGTTTTACCAAGGGTACAGGCAAAGACGGAAGGTAAAACAAGGATTGCCCCAATGTCCCTCTGCCACCACCAATAAACAAAACTGCACAGCTCACAGTTCATTCCCACAACCCCCTCTCCTCACAGGTTGACAGCTGGATACACGGCTGAACATTATCAGGGCTGAACTCAAGATAAGAGCAAATAGGCATCCCTGACAATATTGCCCCGACTGTTTCCATTTTCTGTGGGAAGCCTTGCTGGCTGCTCAGACCTCTGCACAAGTCTCTGCACCTCAACCTCCCACCCATGGCTACGGCCTTCATCCTTCCCCTCACAAATACTGCGCAAAATACAACATGCTGCTATAATCGTTGGAATGCTTTTTTCTACTGCTTCCAGCCTATTCTACAAACAGCGCCCCCTCTCTTTCAAATGCCCAAATGCACACTCCACTACCATTCTGCAACTACTGAGGTGAGAGTTGAACAGTTCCTTCCTTCTGTCCAAGCGGCCTGTGAATGGCTTCCTTAACCAGGAAGCAGAAGATGAACTGGGTTTCCCAGGATAACTGGAGCAATGCCCATAGTGTTCCTGGGGGTAAGCAGTCCTTTCTCCAATAAGATAAATAGGCCTGAGGTCAAAAAGATCCTATCACCATCGATCCAGCCACCCTGCATTCATGTCTGTAAACAAACCAGGTGGTCAACCAGGTCTTGGAGCACCACAGAGAATCCCCTCTCTGTTTATAAATTCTGCACTCGGGTGGAGGGGAAGAAGGGGGGGGAGGAGGGGAGGCAAATATTAGGCACATAGGATCCATCAATTGCCCCAATGGAGTTTGGGAACCCACGTATGCAAAGCCATCAATAATCTCCTGAGTATGACCAAGCTTTAGAATCTGGTGCCACAGTACCTTTTCCTTGGCATCACATACCCGCATGACAACGGCCCCAACAATCGACCTTCCTACATCAGATTGGTTTGCTATGTACTGGTATTATTTAGGTGGCCAGATTCCAGATGGCAATGGCAACCTGCTTGTCCACATCTTGGTGCCATTGCAGCTCCAGGGTTACAGTGCTACCTCAAGAAAGAGTTGTCTTCCCCATCCAGAACTTCTCTCACCACTGGTGGTCACTCTAGGTCTTCAGAACAATCCTTTCCCACTGGTCTGTGCTGGTTTCCTGCGCCCAGAAATGGCGCTGCATTCTGTGAAGCTGCTCCAGCAACCTGTTTTCTATTATCATGTGTGCGGTAGTGCAGCAGGCAACGTCCAAAGCCAAATTCATTCAGTTGAACAATAGCCCTAGCGGCATCTGTAAATTCCAGGTCGCCAGCACATGGCACCGAGCTATGGGATTTTTCTTTTTTTTTAAAAATTGAACCCGGCCAGCTTCAGCTACGTATCCCACAATTCACAGCGAGAACAATCACAGAATGCACAGTGCTCAGCGCCAAGGCAAAGGAGTGTGGGATACCCTCTAAGAATGCTGCACGCATAGTACATAGCAAGCCTCTGCTGTGTACACACGATGCAAACTGAAACATGGAACAGGTGTCCCATGTGCACACTATTATCGCAGTTTGCATATTGTGAGTTACATGATTCACACCAAAAACCTGTGGATTAACCCCTCCCAATGCAAACAATCTCTGAGAGGAGGGAGAGCTGCCTTCATCTATTTCCACTCAGCTCTTCAACCAGGTGTCTGTGTTTGTCCTTCAGCACCTGGTAGAGCTTTTCTTTGCAGTCTGAATTCCAGCTCGGGAACAGCTCGTACAGCTTCCGCATCTTGTCTGGGTTGGTTCTCTCGGCTCTGACACGCTGGTATTGTTCAGTATCCAGAACGGGGCCATGCAGTGAATCCAGGATGCCGTCCACTGCAGTCACCCGCTGGATCAGCTGTTCTCGGTGTTGGTCAACAAAATGTGTGTCTGAGTGGAAGAGAGAGAATGACTTGGGGTGTGTTAGCATGTTTGCGAACATAAATCTTTACACTTCCCTAGTGAGTTTCATCCCAGCACTTGGCAATCTGGATACAGAGGGACTGCTCACCCTGTGCCCAAATGCAGCCACCTCTGGGGTGGACAAAACAAGACCTTAATAAGGAATTTCTCCACCTGATTTCTTTGCTTCAGAAAGGAGAAATCAGCCTGTTTGAGAGAAGAACTGGATTTAGAAACTGTCATTTGAAGCTCTGTGAATCCCTACCCACCTGTTCGCATCTTAGTGGATGAAACAGAAGGCATCAGGTCCTCTGGAAGAAAAAAGGGAAGTTGTTTACTTTTCACTAATATGTCACGTGGTGCCATTTTACACTTGATTGGCTTGAGAGGCACTGAGGACTTAGTTTTACACCAGTCACTGAGATCAGAATCTGGCCCTGACTCCACTTGATGTGAGTGGAGTTTCTGAGATCAGAATCTGGGCTGAGCTCTATCCCTGAGGATCTCTCTCATACAGAGTCCCCAGTTTTCAGAGAAAGGGAAGTGCCGAAGCTGCCGAGTCTGAACTTGGAAGACTTCACTCCACATTGAGGTGGCCTAAAGATATGAATACGCCGGTCCCCATCCTGTAGTGCAGAGGTCCCCAAACTGTGGGGTGCAACCCCCTAGAGGGGCATGGAGGGGGCGGCACGCAGAGGGGAAGGAGTGCCAGCCACCACAAGAGGCATGGAGGGAGTACCAGCCAGGCATCCAGCCCCGCTCCACCCCCAGCCTCACTTCTCCTCCAGCCCCAGTCCTGCTTTGGGTCCAGGCCCAGCTCATCTCTCACTCCCTCTCCGCCCGCAGACAGCTCCACCTCTAGCCCCAGCTCCTTCCCCATCCCCAGTTCCACCCCCAGCTCTGCCTAGTCCGAGCTCTGCTACTGAGGAAGCCTTGGCTGTGCAGTAATGGAGGGAGGGAACGGACAGATTCAGTTACTGATAAGGGGGGGGAGGGGGTGATTGAAAAAGTTTGAGCACCACTGCTGTAGGGAGACCAGATGTCCCGATTTTATAGGGACAGTCCCGATAGTCAGGATTTTGCCTTATATAGGCACCTATTACCCCCCACCCCCTTCCAATTTTTCACTTGCTGTCTGGTCAGCCTGTGATCTGCTACTGAGAAAATCCATGATCAAGAGATGCACTGGCTAGTGTGTTTTGTGCTCTCATGCCCTCTGCTGGTAGGAATCAGATCGGCTCAAGTGGGTATCGTGATCGGCCCTGATAGCCAGGTCGTGGGTATTTATATTGTACTACACCCAGCATGCAGGCAGTTCTGTTAACCAAATGGATTTTGTTCTTCCCAGAGTTTTGTTTACCCATACTAAGCTGTCTCTCCCACAATACCTTATAACAAGTATTTGGCAAAAGTGAATAGAGAACCTATCAAAGACATCATACATTCATTCTATATCCTAGTGCAAGCTTAGGAGGTGCTTTCATGGACAACTGGTTTGAAATGCTGTATTCAAACCAAGATATGGGAAAGTTACAAGGAAGTATAAAGACAAAGCTGACACGAACTTAACAGAACAAGGAGCAATGGTCTCAAGTTGCAGTGGGGGAGGTCCAGGTTGGATATTAGGAAACACAATTTCACTAGGAGGATGGTGAAGCACTGGAATGCGTTACCTACGGAGGTGGTGGAATCTCCTTCCTTAGAGGTTTTTAGGCCAGGCTTGACAAAGCCCTGGCTGGGATGATTTAGTTGGTGTGGGTCCTGCTTTGAGCAGGGGGTGGGACTAGATGACCTCCTGAGGTCCCTTCCTACCCTAATCTTCTATAATTCTATGATTAAGCTTTAGGTGGCCTATGTGATGCTTTTCACTTGTAAACAACCATATTGTAAATATGGCTGATGTGAGGGCGTATCTTTGAAGCAAGCCCACTGTGTAAGGTCAGCTTTGTGAGATCACTTCCCAGAAGGCCACGTATGACTACAATCAATATTTGGCTAAGCTGGGTTATTTGGTTTCTTGAATATTTTTCATAACAAACCACAAGTGTAATCCAACAATTGGTTATACATTTAGCAACATCCCTAGACACCGTACAGCTAGTGGGGATTCATCTTCATTCCTGGGGTTGCCCACAGCAGAAGGGGAGTGCTATATCCCTGTGGTCACCGTGCAATTCCAAGTGTTCACGTTTTGCAGCAGCAGGACAACAGTGAAGCTCTCATTGGCCACAGATTTAGGACAATAAACTTGAGTTTTGTACCCTTCTGCCTCTCCCATCTATTTCCCAGTCCCCTCATACACTGCCAAATCCTGCCTTGCTGTGCACAGAAGGTATGTGCCAGCCATCATGAGAGATGCTGACTGGGGGCTGCATACACAGATATCTCCTCACTGCCAGGCTGAGTCTACCTGGTCTGATGACAGCCGCCCAGATCGGCTTCTCATCATTTTTCTCTACCAGGCTGAGCTCCAGCTCCTCCTTTACATCCTCGGTGTGGATCTCTGTGAATGGTTGAAGAGCATCTGCAGGTTTATCCAAAAATGGCAGTTCCTGTAGGAAAACCAAGTGTGATATTGGGGTGACCCCCCGCCTCCAACCCAAGCAAGCAGGGCTGGGAAAGGGGATGAGGCATGTTAGTCAGAGCTGGTCATAGAAGACTTAATTCCACAAAACACTCTCCAGCCAGCTCCCATCTGTGTAAATATGTTTGGAAATATTCCGCCTCTATGATACGGAACCAACTAGTAGCCTGTGCATTATTCACTAAATATCTCACATCAGTGTTCAGTACTCGGGCTTTGTGATTGGTTACATCAGCAGTATAGTTTTAACACACTAGGGCTACATCTACACTACAGCCAGGATCAGTGCTCCGAGATCAATGCACCGGTGGTCGATTTAGTGGGTCTAGTGAAGACCCACCAAATTGACTGCAGATCACTCTCCAATTGACCCTGGTACTATACCCCCGATGAGAAGAGTAAGGTAACCCATCGACCCCCCGTGGTGTAGACCCCGCGGTAACTCAACCTAAGGTATGTCGACTCCAGCTACGTTATTCACGTAGCTGGAGTTGCGTACCTTAGAGCGACTTACTGCCGTTGTGTAGACCTACCCTAATACTATACACTCCCTTTTCCTTTCATGGATCCCAAAGCCCTTTACTAAGCAAGGCCGGTATCATTATCCCCATTGTACAGATGGGGAAACTGAGGCACACAGAAAGATGGAGGGAGTAGAACCAGTGAATCCTGACTCCCAGGACTCTACTCTAGCCACTGTACCAACCACTGCAGTCCCTGCAGCACAGTGACCCTTAGTGCTGTGATGGGGCATTGGAGTCAGCAGGAGAGAGCCCCCCACCTTGCTCCCTGCAGCACAGGCCCCCTTGCACCACACTAGAATATTGGGGTCAGCACTGATTCAGAGAGGAGAGTGCTTTGCCCAGGTCCCTGCAGCCCAGCGTTCTTGAGTTCCATGTTCACTTCCATTATTTTACTTACTTTGGGTGTTACTGTTATTTCCGATGGACTGGACACAATGCAGCGAGAGCCGAAGCACAAGGGTTTAGAGGTGAAATGAGACTTAGACACAAACCATGACCGGCACTTCTCTTCATAGACATCAACTGCCTGTGAATCATAAGGACAGTCGTGTCTGGGAGATACAAAAAGAAAATACTACAGCAGTCCCTCAGCCAGATCTGTTAGGGTCTCAATTCCCATTCTCCTGCTAGAAAGCAGCCTTTCAGAGAAGAGTTCATTATTGTCATGTTGACAATAAGGTACTGTAATTTGTAGCAATCAATTTAATATGACAGATGTTGCCCTCTTTTATAAATTGACTGCAAACAGACTGATTTACTCAGATTTGTTGTTGGAAATTATTTCCTATTGCTCATCTAAGTTACTGAACCTGTTTATTTCTAGCTTGTCTTGATGCTTAAGTCTGTAGATGTCACAGAGAACGAGCCAGGGTGGTTGTAGTTTTTGATGTTAGTTATCTGAGAATTACCAGAGCACAGAACTTGTGACCAGAACAGAGGGGGACAGAGCATAACTCACTCTCTGATACTTCGTGTGAAAAGTAGGAGATCATTTCCCCAGTGGAACATCAACCTCCTGAGAGAAAATTACTTGCATGAAGAACATGGAGACAACCAGTCTCCAGTAACGTTTCACTATG